GAATATATATGGGCAGGTACTCCATATATATTGAAAAATCTCACCAAAGCAAGAATCACAGCATGAGCAGACATATCATCCACCAATTCCATGTGTATAGCTCATTAAAACTAGTGAATATCAAAATATACATTTTTTTATTTCCCATCTTCAATCCATAGATGACCAGTAAAATCTATTCCTGTATGAAGAAAAAGTCTAACAAAATTCACTAGGTAAATTAGTAACTTTGGGGTATTTGAAAGATATAGAATTATACATTCTATACAGACTACATGAAGAAATGACAGATTTAACTGCCTGTCTGGGATTGTTTACACAAAAACCTGATAAACGAAGTTTACTGAGAGTAGCAGTGATGCCTAAGTGTTTACATTTCATGCAGCAATCCATGATAACCAAATCAGTTAAATAATAATACCAAGGCAACAGAATTGGATATAAAATTTCAGGAGGGTGAAGACAGGATTTGCCAATCCTTTCCTTAGATCTAATCAATCTCTTATCCATAAAAAGATTCAAATTAGCAACCAGGATGGGTTCCTCTTGGTTGGAAGGATTCAACAAGAACAATTTCTCCCTTGAGAAAAATAAAGATTGCACCAATTTTAACAAATACAATCTGGCAGTCATAACAGGATCTGCAAAGGACTTTTTCTAAGAGTAAACAAATTTAAACACATATGACAAAACTCCCAACAATTTTGCCAAAATTTCTCAAAATCAAAAATAAATACAACATCTAATACTACAGGCATGTTTGAAACTGCATTAGTCAACACTAACAATTGACTCTTGGCTGAGACAATTTGAATCACTGGTAGGCCAATGCACAACCTCACCAGACAACCACTGATGGCCAGATAGCCAAAACTGTAAAATAACTTTGAACTTAACAAGAGGAATTCCTCTGGTAACTAAATCTACAGCATTATCAGCCAAGGAACATGTTTAAAACTAAGGTTAAAATTAAGATTCCTTAATTTTCTGATTCTTTCATGTATGTCCTTCAATCTATTTTTAACAAATATGCACTTAGTTTTAATGTCTTCAGACAAAACCCAAGACAATACAACTTGTGCATCTACAGCCACAATATTTTCTACAACATTCACAGGAAAAATTTTTAATATTTTGGGAATACATTTGATTGCCAGAGACACGGACAATAACTCAAGTGGAGGTAAAGTTCTTTTAACTAAAGGTGAAACTTTGGCTTTAGCAAATATAAATTTTGTGGAGCCATTTTGAAAGATATAGACTGCAAATCCAAAAGATCTTTTAGAAGCATTGCAAAATACAATTAAATCGGCAGGAACCGAAACTTCTATTACAAATTTAGGGAACTTTAAACAATTTAATGAGGTTAAGTTCTATAAATAATTAATTCCAGATTATTTAGATGTCCGCGGGTCTACGTTCATCGCAATCCAATTTCCAAAGCTCGCTAAGAAGTAGTCTCCCCTTGACCGTTATAAAGTGATAGAGGATCGAATTCTCCTCTTAGTAACTGCTAATGTTTCCATAACATTAACTGCTATGTGCAAATCATCACTCACAGGGCCATATAAATACCCTAATACTTTCTCAAAGGGTGAATCATGAGTTATAAAACTATCATTTGAGATTTCAAAACGTCATTGCATGACTTGAGTAAAAAAAAAAAAAAAAAAATTCCCTCACACAATATTCATAGCGTCTTGATATAAATTTGATATAAACACATCATGAGAATTGTGGGTAAGATTATCCACATAAAAATTAATAAGTAACATATCTCTACACAAACCATCAGGGTATCTTTTAACATGATATTTTATAATAAAATTAAGAACAAAAGGACTAGCAACAAATCCAAAAATAAGTGTTTTGTAACAAAAACACACTAGTCCGTCATTGAAAAGAAACAAAAACGATTCTTGTCTTTTTCACTGTTCAACTTAATTGTGAGAAAGGCTTTTCAAACATCTGCCAAAAGGACATAATGATCCATTCTAAATTTCAACAACAAATCCAACATATCTGTAAAAAGGTTAATATCGGGATACACACAATCATTAAGCACTCTATCTGAAAGATAAGATTGCTGGCTGTTTTGAATCCAACAGACAATTAAATTTCTTTTCAGAGTTATTACAACAGACAGTAATTTAAACTATGGCTAACAAAAGATCACTATATCTTTCTTGTAAACATGGATTTGCATTTAAATGAGTCTTTTCTACTTCAGGACACAATACAACTGCATGTGTGTTACTTTTACACTTCCAACAAGGCTTAAGTCGACCCTGTTTACCTGGACATTGGTCTGAGGAATGAGAAGGGCTAGTACAAAAGGTACACAATTTGGTAGCCCTACATTGTTGCAAACAGTCCTTCAATGAAGGGAACCTATAACAGAAAAAGGCAAAATGCTCATTGCAATGTCAAAAATTGCATTTGTAAAAGACAGGTGCATGTTTTAGAAAATTTTGCAAAGTGAAAGGGTTTTTATTGTTAATGCTGGGTTGAAACCTACTAGAATTAAACGATTTCTGTTTGTTAACAGGTTTAACTGGATTAAAAAAAATCCTATGTTTGATAATTTCCAAACAGAATAGTTATCAAAAATCTCACCCAATGAAGGATAATTAGAACCCTACTACATGAATTGATCTCATGCCTTAATGACACTGGTAACTTTTCAAAACTTAAATATTTATTACCAGGCGTATCATCTTCTAGAAAATCTAGATAGAAAGAATTCTTAAGCTCATAAGTCTGAGATTCATTTTGGTTAAGAATAATTTCACAGTGTCAAACTCATTTATGCATAAGAGCTTAGGGTCTCCTATGGACTTAAATATAGTATTAACAATATAGTTCCTGTCTAAAAATTCCTTATCAAGTATTTCTATAGCAACATCAAAGTTAATGTCAGAAATGGAAAGATGACTTATAATTCTGTGAGCATACCCCCTTAGATGATTCTTGAGAATGATCAACCTCAGAGACTTATGTTTTATGCTTAATATGCAGTTTTCAAAGATAATTTGTCCTGTGTCAAACTTTCCAGGTCAAAAATGGAGCATTTCAACTTTGGGGCTACATTATAATGAGAAGAATTCTTCTACAGCCGACGCTTTAGGGACGGGTTTCACCTCATCCCATTTCAGCCAGTCAGGTTAAACATAGCATGACATGAGAATGACATAAATCTCTTCTTTATTGTTTTTTTTTTTTTTTTTTTTGACAACTTCCTCATCTATCTCACTATTAAGATAGCTATTGTTGATCTTATTGTTCAACAAATCAAGAGAGTCTAAAAACCCCTCAATTCTGTTTTTTCTGCACCTGAAAGGTGGTTTTTCATAAATCTTCATCAGATTTAATAAATTGGATAATAGTGTCTATATTATCCTTTAAAATATCTCTAAGGATTCTTCCTAAGCAAAAGATTAATGGAAGGGCATAATGCCATAGTAATAGATAAAAACTCAAAAGGTTACTCAAAGTCAATCAATTGTGTGTAAGAAAAAGGCAATATGTATTCAGTAACCAACAATTCACTAATTCACATGAAGGAAACAGATCAATTTACAAAACCCCAAAACCAATATGCATTTTCAAAAAAATTTCTGAATTATGAATATTTACCGTAAGCATCATAACTCCTGTTACTAGACAGGTCAATATAGTGCTTAAATTTTCCAGTAAACACTACAAATGTAACATTGTATGCTTAGTAAACATTTTAAATTGATGAGTTTTCATCTGATTTATGTTTTGAGGAAAAAAATGCTAAATAAAAATTTTGTTACCATAGGAAGAACAAAAGAATGATGTCTGAGGTAAAAATGAACAGATATTCACAATTCCAAATATTTATTAAAATAAAGGATAGCAGAATGTAGATAAGCAATTTTTTAAAGGTAACCAATAGAAAGATAAAAAAAGATGTTTGCAGGACAGAAAATTAAAAAACAAAATGTTCAGTTACTTTTTTAAAAAGAAAAAAACTAAAGTATCAGTATGTAATGTTTTTTTTTACAAGCTACAAGGGTGATATTCAAATGCATATTATAATTAAAATAAGAAACATTGCAGACTGTTTTGTTCTAAGCTGGGAATGCAGACCAAATTTATCTTTTACTTATAAAAGGAGGAGTTTAAGAGTTTCTATTTTGCTCGGATCAAAAGTCTTGAATCATTAATGCTGGTTTGTTTGTATTTTATTGTAATATTTTCTTAGTGCAATAAGTTATCAAGAAGGCTCTGTTTATGTAATTCTGTGACAAATAAAAATCTTTTGTCTTCATCTTCTAATTTTAACAAATACATAAGAGGGTGGGCTGAAGAAATATAGGTTGACTATGAAGGAGTGATACTAGAGCTGTGAAATCTTGAATGCATTAATTTCAAGTCTTATAACTGAATTGTATCTTTCTATGTAAATTGACTGTTCAAAGAAGACTTCAAAAGTAATTAATACTGACTTCTCTTGGAAAGAGACAAAATTTGGCATTGTGGTGTAATCAAGTACCTGCAGAAAAATGGTTTAACTTAGAAAAAAAAAACTTGTTAGACTTTGAATTTAGGGTGTGAGGAGCATATCAATTTATATTGGATATTATTTCATTTTTATTGTTATGTATGTGTGTTCTATACATCTTTAGCATTTTAGAATAGTTGAACTGAATTTTTGTGTGTTCTGACAACAATTTTAAAACAGTAAATCAGAAATTAAACTTATGCTGTTTTTAAGGATTGTTTAATGTGCAAAATTTGCATGTGTATATTTCCCTTTTAAATTTGCATGTGTATATTTCCCTTTTTAAATACAAAATACTTGAGATTGTTGGTTCATTACAATGACTTATCATTTCAAGTGGGAACCAATTATTGAACATTTTCAGAATATTCATTCTAAATGCTTGTTGCGCAGTAATATTCTCAAGTAATATTTAATTTCATTTTTTAAAATGTTCACACACTTTTCTTTTATTTCATTTCTATTGTAGAATTGGCTTAATCAAAGGACATGATGCTGTTGTCTCCCCTGTAAAAGTCAACACTACTGACAATGTTAATTATAACGCTGGGGCTGATCTTCTTTTCAAGTAAGTGCAGAATAAAGCAGAAAATCAACACATGATTTTAGTTGCTCTTTATGTCATTGTTTCTTAGAATATCTCTTTGATCTTATCCAATATTTTAAAAATGAATTTGACATAGAAGTCCTATTGTAATATATTCAGCTATGTGGCTTGACCAAGCAGGATTGTTAGTGTGATGAAAGGGCGTATGGTTGAATTAGCTCAGTACATGACATCTTCTCACATGACAGATTATATGGAATTGGTTATGGATGTCCATATTTAAGATAAACTGTAATTCACAGAAGATAAAGGGAGCCTGAAGGACATTCATTTGTTTCTGCATTTTGAAACTCAATATTATTAAGGTATATCAGTGAGGGCATGACAAGTACATTGTTGAAATAAGATCTCATCCTTTGATGTGTCTTTATTATACATTCAAATAAAGTAAAAACTCTCAACTACATCTACAGAAGTTGGTATTGTACATTTCTACTCCTAACCACTAGACAGGAGATCACCAATATTGCAAAAAAAAACAACAACACATTATTACACTCATTATTTACTCATGCCAGCAGAAATGATAGAGTTGTTATTAGGTTTCCACATGCAAGTTTTTAACCCTAGAACAGTGCTTGTGGGCTTACTGTGCATGTCTCTGTTAAAGTTTTTTATTTTGAATATTTGAATAAAATCCATTTCGTAAATTAATTTGTATGCACTGCTAGGTAATAGGACCAAAAGGATGTACAATGTTCAAGGTGTCCAAAAAAAAAAAAAAAAAAAAAGTATTTTCTTAAACTGTTTTAATTTCAAACTCAGGTGTGCCATTCCCATGTGTCACACTATAAATGTACTGTTCTAGAGTTAAATATATTTTTCCAGTTATTATCAATGTATTCTGCTCTTTTATGGAGTTTGTCTTTTTACTGCCTGACTTTGTAAACATCTTCAAATTACTTACTATTGTCATAATAAAGCCACTGGCATAGACAGTACATGGGATTTAACTATAGTACTGCAAAAGGTTTCAGACATTACTGACAGCATACAAATAAACTTGGCATATTATTTTATAGATGTTAATGTAACAAAATGAATCTCTACTTGAAAAAATATTTTCATATTTTTAATTTTACTTGTAACTTACATAGTTGTTAAGTAGTCATATCTTTCACAACTAGAATCACAAAATGGCCAACTGTAATAGACTTCTAAAAATATTTCTTTTTCATAACAAGGAGATTTTTGAAAGCTCACAAAAGTCATGTAATAGATCAATACAAATGACTGAATGTAACTAAAGTACATTTATTTATATTCTGTGGGTATTTAATCCTTTCCAAACAAATGACTAGACTAACTGCTAATATGTAACAATATATAATGTACCTACTATGAAATTCCAGTAGTTAGTCTGCTAATCTTATAAGTTTATTTCTCATTTAAACAAATTATCAGCCAATCACATTTTCAACATGACATACAGCTTTTCTAAAAATAATTTGAAGTGATAAAATATTTTTAACTCAATATATTCCTCACTGTACATTTTTCTTTTAAGTGTCATTGATTATGTTCTTTTTGTTGTTATTGTACTACTATATTTGGCTAGGATGGGTTTATTATCTCAGTCCTTAGTCCAGATATATCCTGGTGGGAAGACTCGTCCACCAATCTTGTATTTAGATAAAATCAGAAGTAGTCCCAGACTCAAGGTTAGAACATCACAAACCTAAATCAGTTACTTGTCAAATAAAACTAAAGGTGATAGATTGAGTAAAGTCTGAAATAATGACAACGACTGAAATGCAAGATTTTGATGTAGATTGTGTTAACTTTTGGTTACACAGATTTTTCTAATTACTGACTTCCTTTTCACAATTCTAATACTTGATGGTAATATGCAGAAGTTTGAACTTTGAATTGCACATCTATAACTATGACAATAATAGAACAACAGTTATGTGTTTGTTTGCTCATTTTGCCTTCTTTTCAAAGGTTAGGATAGTAGTCTGTTCATTCACAACCACAACTACAATCTGCTCTTCTCTCCTATTTGCAGAACTACCCAATGTGCCAGTTAATATGCTGATTGATTGGTAAGAATCAAGCATTAATTTATGCTCTCAAAGTGTCTTTGTTTGAAAAGCAAATGGCCAGTTTCCCACTTGACCAAGTTCAGATAACTCAATTTTTGAAAACTATTGTTACTATGAAATGACTGGTATTTTATGTAAGCAAACAAGACCACATAACTGATTGCTCAACTGAACCACTTTCTTGGGAAAGCCAATTCTACAAAATTATTCTACCTATCAAGCCACACCAGTGAAGAAGTCTTTATGTTAATAACTTAGTTTCAAAGGTTTTTAGATAATTTTTTTTACTTCAGCCAAGGAAGTAATTTATCACTTGTCATAATTTCCTCCTGACTTTTGTAAGTGTAGCAGGTGGCTACAATGCCATACCTTGTTATACTTTGTTATCCTCAATATTCCTTAAGAACCCCTCAGCCTATCTAATTTATCAAAATTAATTTGTGTATTTTGTTCTAATATGAATTAAATGCAGCCTTTTCTCATGTTCTTTCTCGGCTCTGTACCATAAAACTGATCCTTTCTACTTTTAACTCTATAAAGCATCCTTGTAGTAAGTTCGTTCTACTCACTCTGTATGAATTTGTCACCACCCACCTTGTCACATTACATATTTTGGCTAGTCATTTCTATAGTCTTTATCAGGTATAAAGAAAGTTGGTGGATGATGTATGTCTCTTCAGATATTTCCAAAACCTTAAAATTACAGAAGGTGTGTGTGTGTGTGTGTGTGTGTGTGTGTGTATATATATATATATATATATATATATATATATATATATAATTTTTTAAAAATTTATTTCAATGTATATTTTCCATCTGCAGATACCAGAAAGTATGGAAAGATGTTCAAACTGTTAATGAAGAAAATGCCAAGAAAGCTGAGGTACATATTCCTGTTACTCATTCTTTTTTATTTTAATGTATTTAAAAATACAAGAAACCTTTCATGTTTTAAATATTAATTATTTGAATAATAGATTGGTAGTTAATATAAGCAGAGAAAGTAAAATTTTAAACTATTGTCTCTTTACTGATATATAATCCAAAGCAGCATTAATATTGAATTAGTGAGTTATATTCTTACAGGTTGTCCCTATACCTTTGGCCTTATGCCAACACAAGGCTAACATTAGTAAATGACTATATTCTTATCCATTCATATAATTAGATGATTAATTTCTGGTTTGTGTTGTCAGATCTGTTCAACTCTTTGAAAACATACTCCAATGAATCTACTGTAGATATATGAAACAGTAGTATTTATTCATATAATTAAACAAGATAGTCTTTGATTTTGTTTATATATCACCAGTTTTATGAATTAGTATAAACATTAATTTTATCTTTTTAATTTTATACTAATACTAGTATAATACCTATAAAAACCATTAGGGTTATTTGTGTATAGATAAGCAGTCATTTTTGACAAGTACTTCACTAGTTCATTTTATATATCTGTTTGCCTTATCATGATAGAAAACCAACAGACAAAAAAGTGATAATAGCTTTTAGAAATTCGCTTAATTTTTTATGTTTATTTTTGGGGATCTTGTGTTTTGCCTGAGTTAAAGCTTTAAGAAAAGAATGTTATTCCAGCACTAAAAAGAGACTAAACAATGTTGAAGAAAATAATCAATATAGATTGATTTTAGATTTTAAAATGACAGCTTACTTGTTTAATATGTAATAAGAATTAAAAGAAAATGTTAGATTTTGTTTTCATTATTTGAAATGAGTTTAATATCTGACTATTATTTGACGGGTGGAGGGGATGCTGTTCTTATTGACATCAACAGCTGCAGTAGTAGACATAGATACAGTAGATCCTTACTTTACCCTCAGCCTGTTCTTTTCTCTTTCCTTTAGTGTGACAGAAAATCAATAAAGAAACAGAAAGTGACTATGGCTTTTATGTAATAAGATTTTACAAAAAGTAATGATTTTAATGGTTTAATTTTTCCTTTTTTCTAGGCAGCAGATCGGGAAATCCAAATACTGTATGGTGATATAAAAAAGAATTGCAACAATCTTACAGGGTTCTATCGAGAAGTTAAAAGTCTACCAAGTTTTCTGAGTGTACTCCAGAATCTGACAGATTTGCTTGGTATGTAAAAAAAAAAAAAAATATTAATAATAAATGAATTTGTGCATAAATTCATGTACTAGTAAAATGCTATCCCAAGAATTTATGATAAACAAACAATTCTACTATTTTAGTAGAAAGTAATTATTGTAGGTTTTGTGCTGTAGAAATGTAATTAGTGTTAAAAAGGTTCTTTGATTTCTAAAGTAAATAATTTCCACTGCACTGTAAACTGTTTTCACTAAATTCTAAGAAATTGTTTGTAATGTATTTCTCAAATCATTTTTTCAATATATTTCTGTCATAAAATCTGTTTTTCTTTTCTATTATTTTCCAAAGTGCCATGACTTTATTCCCAATGCATTTTTAAGAAAATGCTTTTAGTATTGAATACTTTGTTGTGAGTAGTGAATCATACAAAGAATATTTAAAATAAATTGTAATGATTTTGATAGTAAAACATTTAATCCACTTTTAATTTAAACAAAATACCTCTCAATATATAAACAAAATAATGTTTTAAATTTAGTTGCATTTTGACATTGACTAATGTGAAGTTTTATATTTATTTTTTATTTATCTCCTTTTTTTTTCTCTCTCAGTCAAATAATCAAATATCAAAATTTAATTCAGTAAGAAAAATATATCTGTATTATACTTATTTTTTTTTTCTTTTTTTTTTTTTTCTAAGCATGTTTAGAAGAGAGTTGTGATACTGTGGAAACTGCCTTGGTACAGTTGGAAGATCTCAGTGAACAGCTTGAGTTAAAACAGCACAAAATTGCACATATTGAACAACTTGAAGATTACAAAAAGAGAAAAGATGATGACTTAAGAAAGATGAAAGGTAAGAAAATTGTTTGATGTTGCATCAATAGATTTATGCGACAAAGAATAGAATTATGGTTTTGTGTTTAAGTGAAAATGGAATATAATTTTAGTTTACAAACTTCTGATTTTTGGATGACATTCTGGATTTTGGATACGATATCAAAATGCAGTTCCAACAGATTTTAATTTTAATCTGTAGTTTCTAAGCCTTGTTAAATGAATATATTTTCATTATTTATCAAACTTTAAAGTCATCACAAGCATTGCATTTGTCTACTATATTTCTCTAGGGTTTTGTGACTCTTTCATATCCAGTATTCAATAATAATAAGGCACTGAGTATGATATCTACAATGAAAATAAAACAAATGGCTTTTCTTGTACCATCAGTGTCACTCCTAATAGAAACTTTGAACAAAGGCTTATTATTATGTGTACAGCAACATAGTACATTGATCTGTCTTTACCTCTCTATTTTACAACTAACATTCTGAGTAAAGGAGGAGATGAAAATGAGGCCAAAAAAAAAATGACCATTTATGTTGGTGTAAATAATTTTATAACACTATTTTTGAAGAATCCAAATTTGCACTTTGATTTTTTTTTCTCACTCTTAATATAGCAGTAGCATTTCTCAAAGAAAATTATGTGTTAAATAAAAATTTAAATGTACACATGTATCCTAATGCAGCTTAGAAAATGTTTAATTAATGAATATCTGAATAATATTGATAAAACCAATTTATTGCCAAGAATACTTTTAGCTTACATGTTTAGCCCAAACTGAATTTTTTTCAAATTGACATTTTCTTCAAGAGTAACTGAAAATGATTATGTCTGTGGTAGAGGAAGTATTTGAAAATCAGTCTTAACTTGAGCTAATATTTAATTAAAACATTATTATTAAATTAATCTTAAGAAAATAAGCATAGTAATTATGAACAACCAAAGTGTATATCCTCTTTTTGGTACAGACACACACACACAATTTCAAATGGCCAGATAAACAGATAAAGTGTGTATAGAATTTGGTTTGTGGAAAGACATCTTCATAAACATATTTTATGATTTTTTTCTAAGATTTCTTGCAGTATTGTTTTTTTTTTTTTTTTTTTGTTCTTCTTTTTGGTCGATCCTTAATCAATTCCTGACAAGTATTTTTCTCTTTTGCTAGACCAAATGAGTCATGAACACGCTGTTTTAGTGGAGAAACTGGAGAAGAAGAAACAGGAAGTTTTACGAGAGAGATCAGAAACCTTTGAAGAAGCATTCCAAGATGATTTAATTTTTTACAAGACACATGGCCATATGGAACGTAAGTAAACATATTAAACATATTAAACATGTTCAGGTCAAATATTTCTGCATATTTTTGCTTTTCTTCTAACTTTTTAATCTGATTCCTTTTTTGACTAATTTCAGGTGTTATGGGCAAGGATATGGCAAAAAATCTTAATCTTAGTGATATCACCCTTGATCATGATGAGGCAGCACTGGCAGCCTTCCTTGCTTCTACAGAAGTAACCCCTTGTAGTGAACGAGGCCTGCTGGGAGTCACTCCTTCCTCAGAAGTAGCAGGTGACATTACTTCCCCATCAGAAACAGATGTCCTTACTCCGATGACTCCAGGTAGTGAATGGACAGCCACAGATGACCTTTCTTCTCACAGTGACTCTGAAGAGCAACTTTTGCCTGGACCACTAAAAATAGTTGACACTGTGAAGGTAACAGAAAAGAACACTGACCCCGAAAGCCTTTCACTTCCATCTCATGCCACTGAGAATGAGACTGAAGATGTGGGGATCAAAAATGGTCCAAACTTGTTGACTGCAGCAGAGAAGATTGAAAATCCTAAGAGTCAGAATGCAAGCTGAAAGGAAAGAAATGTATGCAAAACTCACATATCTAACAACAAAGATAAAAAAAATCAAGACCAATGTTTGAATGTTATTACACTGCAAAAACTTGTTTATTATTTTCCTATACAGACGTTTTTGACATTGTAGAAAAAAATAAATTATTACATTGATTAAAGTTTAATGTAGCAAATATTATTAAAACTTTTACAAATATGTTATCGAAAATTTTAGCAAGAGTCAACTTTCTTTACTATAGCCATTATTACTTGTCATGTGGATACAGCAGAGTTTTAAAGAAAAAAGAGATTAATTCTCTGATATCCATAAAATATTTAGATGTAATTTTCATTGAATTTGATTTTTGGCTAGTGTGCTACTAATGTTTTCTATAAAAATTATACTGAGAATGTATTAAAGTTATTTTAAAAACTCATTTCATAATATGGAAACATTCAGCATTGACCCATTTTTCTTTTGTTAATCATTTTCACAATATTTCTATAGTAAGTCATTTCCAATTCTCTACACTGGATAAAAAACTTAGGAATTGTATAAACATGATTAAAATGGGCTTTTTTTTGCAATATAACATTTGAACATTGGTCTTTATCACTTGATAAAGTGTTTATAATGTTGAATTCTCTACAACCTGTGATCTATTAAAACTGTTGAATACCACAAATAAATCTTACAAAAAGAAAACAGATCATTATATAATCTTGATTTATTATTTTATTTAATTTCCTTGAAGCAGATAATGGCAGGTTTACTTTTGGTGCAATTGTTTTTTTGATTTCCAATATAGACTGTATTAGTTTACTCTCAAAATTGTAATATGCACCACACACATCACACACACACACACACACACACACACACATTGCTACTTGAAAGTTTGTGAAACCCTCAGGCATGATCATTGTTACTGTGAAAAAAATTTAAAATAATTCTCTTAAATGTGCATCCAAACACCAATTTTTAAAGTAGACTTTTCAAATAATGAACGCAAACAAAAAAAGAAAAGGATGTAGATTTCCAGTTTTGGAGAAATAAATTACATTTTTAAAATGAATCAAATTATTTATTTAAAAAATGTGATTTATTTCTGAAAAACTGAAAATCTGACATGTGCAAAAATATGTGACCCCTTTTCTATGTATTGGTGAAGTCAAGTAGGTAATAAATTCAGCTGCAACATATTTGGTGCTTAATTATTCAATTTATGCTGACCAATCAAATGAGACATCCTTAGTAAATTGGTTGGGCAACCCAGGTAAGCTAGTGTAATGCCTAACAGATCAACAATGCCAAGAGGAAAGGAGATATCTGATGACATCAGGAAGAAGTTACTGACTTTTCACCAGTCTAGGGAAAGCTATAAGATCATCTCAAAAAATCTCAGTTCCATCCATCCATCCACTGTAAGACAATTTACAAATGGAAGGCATTCAACATGACTGCAACTCTTCCTAGAAGTGGACATCCATCAAAACTATCACCAAGAAACACTAAAAAAAATAATAAATGAGGTAAAAGCCAATCCACACATCACCTCCAGAGAATTGCAGATTGGCAGCATCTGGAGTAAATGTACATGTGTTTACAATTAGACAAAAATTGGATATGGCAATCGTTGGAGAGCTGCAAGAAGGAAACTTCTGCTATCAACGAAGAACAAAGCTTGCTTATTTAAACTTTGCCAGAGAACACTTGGACAAACCAGAGGCCTTCTGGAAGTCCATTCTCTGGACAGATGAATCAAAGATAGAATTGTTTGGTCAGAATCAAAACTGTCATGTTTGGAGAAAAGCCAACACTGCCTGCGAAGCAAAGAACTTCATTCCAACAGTGACGCATGGTTGTGGAAATGTTAAAACCTGGGGCTGCTTTTCTGCCACTGGATGATTCCATATTATCCAGGGAAGTATGAATTCTCACTCCTATCAACAAATTCTGGATCAGAATCTTCTACTATCAGTCATGAAGTTGAAATTTGGTCGAAAATGGATTCTGCAACAAGACAATAACCCTAATTATACCAACAAAACTACCAAGGAATGCCTTAAAAGGAAGAGGATTTATATTCTGGATTGGCCCAGTCAAAGTCCGGATCTTAATCCAATAGAAATGTAGTGGTTAGACCTGAAGATGGTTCATGCTGGATGTCCCTCCAACCTCTCTCAATTGACTGAGTTTTGCAAGGAGGAGTGGGCAAAAATCCCCAACAGCAGATGCAAGAGACTGGTCAGTGGCTACAGAATACTTTTGGTTCAAGTAATTGCTGCAAGAGGAGGTTCCAAAAGGTACTAACTAAAAGGGTTCAATAATTTTGCATATGTCAAATTTTCAGTTTTGGTGAAATAAGTCCTTTTTTTTTTTTTTTAAATAAATAATTAAAATAAATCTCTCTCTTTTTTTTGGGGGGGTGTTCATTATTTGGAAAATCTACTTTACAAATTGGTGTTTGGATGCACATTTTCAATTTGTTCATAATAACAATGACCATATCTAGGGGGTTCACAAACATTCAAGTAGCACACTGTGTGTGTGTTTGTGTGTGTGATATATATATATATATATATATATATAGTGTTTTAAGGTATGGGTAAAAGTGCGCAATATCCAAGATAGAGCAGGTGTACATAACTGCAAGAGTGGATACTAAGGTCAACACCCAAGTGATAGTAACAACTATCTATACAAGATGTGTCTTTCATCTTGCATGGATAGTTACTATCACTTGGCTGTTGACCTTAGTATCCACTCTTGTAGTTATGTACACCTGCTCTATCTTGGATATTGAGCACTTTTACCCATACCTTAAAACTATATATATATATAACTAAATGCATAACATACAAACATATATATATATATGAAGTGGTTAAGCACCTTACATCTCATGATCTCTCTGATAAGCAATATGATTTCCACTTTCCTTGATCTACCACTGATGTGCTCATGGCCATAACTGAATTTGTTTACCAAGCACTTCACAGTAATGGAGAAACTCGTGTCATGGCTCTGGATATCTCTAAAGTGTTTGATAGGGTTTGGATGCCGGCCTTCTTTGTAAGCCTCAGGGATACAGAATTTCAGGATGATCATTTGACTTAATACAATCATTCCTGTCAAACTGTGTACGGAAGGTCATCCTTAATGGATTCTCCTCCAGTTCCTTTCTCATGAATGAAGGTGTTCCCCAAAGTTTTATCCTGGGCCCTGCACTGTTTCTGATCTTCATTAATGATCTTCCCGATGTCATCAGTTCCTAAGTAGGCATCTATGCAGATGACACTACTATTCACTCCTCCTTCAGTAGCAAATCCAGCATTGCTGACAAAACCAACCTGGCCGTTGGTCTTGAAAAGGACCTCCAATCGGTTATTGACTGGGGCAAGAAATGGCTGTTTAAAAAACAAACAAACTGCTCTCTTTTACTCACCACAGAGAACCCTCCTTGCCTCCTATTAGAATGTCTGATGCTCAACTCTATGAGAGCCCCTCTCTGTGACTGCTGGTCTTGTGCTGTCCACTGACCTGAATACTGCTGCCATATATGGTCTGGAGCCTCCGCTGTTCATCATAAGGTTTTCGACAAAATCTAGAGATGGATATGCATTGTGATTGGCCCTGATCTGGCATCTCATTTACAGTCTCCATCTCACAGACGTATTGTTGCTTTCTTCTGTTTTTTCTATAAATATTTTAGCAGTAACTGCTCTGATGAGCTACTTTCGCTGGTTCCCAAGCTGCATGAATTTAAACGTGCTACTAGGATGGCGTCTCAGTCACACCCTTTCATTGTCAAAATGTTTAAATAGCTACTCCAATAGTTTCATGTCGCACACTTCTCGTTTGCGGTACTCCCTTTTACTTACTTGCTTCCCTGGCAGTTATAGCCTTTAAATATTCAAATGCAATGTCAATTGACATCTCCAGATGCCTTGATCTATTCCCCATCCTTTTCTTCTTCCTTTCCTATATCACGCCGCTTTACTCTTGTTCCCACTCTCTGTAACCCTTTGCATGCTAGTGGCACTTTCACCTTGTTTGGGGTGTAATGCTTAAATATATATATATATATATATATATATATATATATATATATATATATATTATTATTATTACATACACAATGTGAGTAACTCCCAAAACAGTACACTTAAAAATGACACTCCATAAAAAAAGAGCTATAATATATACACATACATACATACACACACACACACACATATATTATGTCTGATAGCAAATAAAAAAATACTAGTTAATTGGGTCACTATTCAGTTGTGGCAACCATTTGTTTGATCTACTGACAATGTAACATTGCCTTCAAATCCATTGAAATTTTTTTTTTATACGCCCTACCCTGGCAGAAGGATCATTTCATATTTTCGTGAGAATCTAAACCACCTCTCAAGCAACAATTTGTTTCTATTCCCACTGCAGGTGAGTAATTGACAAACAAAAGAACAAACAATTAGAAAGCTTAAAAAGGCAATAGCAATTATTGCCATATGTTTATTATTTAGCTGGGAATCAGTTTTCCAAGGACAAGCGCAATATATGATCTTTGATTTTATTTACCAATCTGTTTACAGTTCAGTGAAATTGGTAAGTAGATTAGATGGTAATTATTCTATTAAATGCACACACATACACACACACACATATATTATAAATTTACTAATTTAAAAATATGGTCCCATTGCTACACAGGAATTACCATGTTTCAAAAATGGAAAATAAAAACTTAAAATTCAGTTAGAGAATTAAATTAAAATCCTTAGTACTGTTTCATTTTCAAGCAATTTTGGGATTTTTTCAATGACAAAAATGTTTTTGGCACTTTTATTTTGTAGTTAAATTTATAATTGTATACACAAAGATTTTTTTAAAACGGTCATTTGAATATGACCTGTAAACTCTAGCTTTTCTTATTAATTTCCATTTTACAGTAGGTGTTTTATTGGTTTACTTTAAGTGCCAGAAATATTTAGATAGGGACGTCT